TTGGTGAATACCATCATGGACTGAAGGTCGTTAGTGAAATAAAACTGAGCAGCTGAACTCACAGAGCAGGTCAGACTGCACAGTGCAAGGCTTTGCTCCTAAACCATGTCTTGACAGGTTAAAGTTTGGCAGAACAGAAAAGCAGTAATTACTTAGCAGCAAAAGGGTGTCATTTGAGTTATTTTAGATGCACAGTCTGTTATTAAATATTTCTGTTATTAAATTACGGTTGTATAGCTCAAAGTATCAGAGGGCTGGAGCCCCTCTGCTCTGGGCCAGGCTGGGAGAGCTGGGGGTGCTCACCTGGAGAGGAGAAGCTCCAGGGAGAGCTCAGAGCCCCTGCCAGGGCCTAAAGGGGCTCCAGGAGAGCTGGAGAGGGACTGGGGACAAGGGATGGAGGGACAGGACACAGGGAATGGCTCCCACTGCCAGAGGGCAGGGATGGATGGGATATTGGGAAGGAATTGTTCCCTGTGAGGGTGGGCAGGCCCTGGCACAGGGTGCCCAGAGCAGCTGTGGCTGCCCCTGGATCCCTGGCAGTGCCCAAGGCCAGGCAGGATGGGGCTGGAACACCCCAGGACAGTGGGAGGTGTCTCTGCCATGGAATGATGTCCCTTCCCAGCCACAGCATTCTGTGATCCTGCAGGAGTGAAGAGCTCTTTCCTGCAGCCCTGCTGCTGCCATACCTGCCCCTGAAGAGGCTGGGGTTCTGCAGTGCCCACTGGGCCAGGTGCAGGGCAGCCTCCCACGTGAGGAGCCCCGTGGTGCCCCCGGAGATCAGCGCTGTGCTCTCGCAGAGGCTCACACAGTCCCCCGAGGGCTGCAGGACACGAGAAGGCAAAGATGCATCAGCACAGGCCATGGATTTACAGTTTACAATCAACAGGAGCACCTGGAAAAAGGCAGGAAGCACTCCAGGCTTCAGCATGGGTGTTTTTAAGGCTAATTATTGCTTAGTTTGGGTGAGTAAATGTGGTTTAGAACACTGCAGTGTCAATTTTTACCATTAAGTAGTTTTTGTAACAGTGAGTAGATTCCTCTTCTTCTTTTAGAACATCTGCCAGTGCCTGATAGAGTTCATCCAGGGGTTCAGCTGCTGTGGATTCCAGCTGTGGGGGAGGAGAACAGGGCAGCTCTGAGCATCGCACTGTCACTAAAGAGAAAACAACTGCACTCTAAGCCCCATTTTAGTACAGTGTATTTATGCTGAATGTTGTGGTTTGTTATTACATTAGGTATTCTCAAGGAAAAAAAAATAAAAACAAGTGAAAAATAAGCTGAAAAGCAAGAGGTACCTTTTTGATGAGCTCAGTCAAGAAGCCCCTCCTGTACTTGGCCGAAGGGGGATATTTCACACACAGCGGGTGAAGAATTGTCTACAATGAGAGGAACCATGGTAACCAATTACCCAGGGCAGGGTTTAGGAAAGGCACTAAGGATCACAAGAAGACCATTAATTGGGTCTGGGTGCCATGAAACGCTTTGAAATTTAGTCTTTACAAGATATGCTAAGCCATTAATTGAAATGGGATGATTTCTGACAGGTCTGTGAGTTTACAGAACTGTGTCCACAGATTTCTTAGTTTTTGTGGCAACAAAAATGCTTTTCAATAGAGTAAAGAGGAAAATAGAATGAGAATAATCCAATTTAGTCTCCTCCTTCGTTTGCTCTTCTCTTCCTTCTTTCCATTTCATTTTGCTGCCTCATTCGTGATCTCCATTCACAGGGACAGTTTAGGCACCCCCATTCCCTGTATCCCGAATATCCAGGAGCGGATGCGCTGATTGAGCCATTCACCACACCAGTGCTCTGGCACGCGGGTCTCAATTTTTACCAAAGAACGCTCAAACACCAGGCAAAGAAGGGAATCTGCGGTTCTGCAGGGCCTAACGACACACCGCGACACCGGATCACGGATCGCCGCATTTCTGAGCAGTCCCGGCGGATTTGGGACACGCGCTGGCACCGCCCGTCGCTGCTGCGGCGGTGACTCCGAGCCGCCCCTCACCTTGCGCAGAATATCCGCCAGCAGCGCGGAGTCCGGCGCGGCCCGCAGGCTTTGTTCCAGCTCCTGGAACAGGATAAATAAATAAATAAATAAATAAATAAATAAAAACGCCGCGGCACCGCCTCCCCCCGCCCGGCCCCTCCGTACCGGCCAGGGCAGCGAGCGCAGCGGCCGCGCCGCCAGGAAGCGGCGCTGGAAGCGCAGCGCCAGCCCCGGCCGCGGCTCGGCCATGGCTCCCGGCGCTCGGCCGCGGCTCCCGGCGGAGGAGCCGCCCTGAGGGCGGAGCGGCTCCGCCCCGCGGGCCCGGGGCGCCGAGCGCCGCAGTGGGGATCGAACCCGCGACCCCCGCACACGCCGCGGCTCTCCCCGCAGAGCTGCCCCGCCGGAAGGGGGCGCCACGGCCCCAGCGGCACTGGAGGGAGCGGGGAAACAC